TTAACCTAATTTAGGAAGACAACTTTATCTTGTGGCATTGCGTATCTCTCTGTGGCATTTGTCAGAAAACTGAGCTGTTAAAGAAAGCTGAGAAAGAATCTTGTTGATGAACAGAGAGGAACCATGGAATGCTGATTTCTCAGCGCCCCATTAAACTCACTCTAGTGGTGGAGTCAGCCGCATTGCACAAACTCACTTGGAGCCATTTAAAAATTACCCATCACAAGGATCTTCTCGCCCTGCAGAGCTATGTGCGTTTGATGTACAAGATAACGTGAAAACACATCCCGTTGGTTGCAGGTTGTGTCACGCTAACCCTGTGAGTTTAAGCCATTAATCTGCACTTAGGTGATCCAAACCCATAACAACTCTGAACACAGGCTGAAATTAATCTGGGGTAGCTTCCTGGGCCCAAACTGAGGTGGAAATTTTATCTGGTTCCCCATATGTGCACGTGGGACCACAGAAGAGGCAGAGAAAAGGCACAGGAAGGAGCTAACCCAAACTGGAAGCCCTCGTTGTCTCAGGGCTTTGGTGCAGGATCTGGGGTCTGGACTTCACGTGTGTGTTTGGAATGGGATGGTTGAGATGTGAGGAACTCCAGGACCATGAAGCTTAAGGCAGAGCAGCTGGGTTGGGATCATGCCAGGAACAGGGGTTGGGGTGTCACTGCTTGGTGTCCCATAGTGACAACGGTGACCAGCTCCCACTTGTCCTGTGCTGGGGGCGGGTTGATTTCTGATTTTTTTTTTTTTGGCAATTAAAATTTGGGGGGTTTTCGCTGAAACAACTCTTCCCAACAAAATTCCAGAGCTTTTTATTCAAACTTTTTTTTTTTTTAATGGAAAGCTTTGAAAGTGGATTAAAATGTTTTTGTTATTGTTAGCTTTTCTTATTTTTTCTTCCAAGATGAAATTATCCTGCCAACTCCACATCCACATATTTCCACAAACGCTCTTTAATGAGACAGATTAATTAATTGTTTTGAAATGTCACCATTTTTTTGTAAACAAGATCCCACCAGTGTCTAGGCTGTTGATATGAGAGAGGACTGATCAGTGATGTGGAGCTTTGCCAGATGATCAGGGTGACGAGGGACCGCTGGGGACAGGCTGGAAGGCTGAGGTGGGTCTGAGTGGACACAGCTCATTGCAGAGATGCTGCAGGGCATGCCTTGGCTTTGGATACACACGTGGGAGTATGTGGGGTAGGCTGTCTTCAGTATTTGCCTCACTTGTAGTTTGCTTTGTTATTTTACGACTGAAGTTTGGTGTGATATTGTTTGCATGTCAACATGTGCGTGCTGCTCCAAATGTACTCCAAATGGCACAGCTAACTCTTGGAGCTTATTTCTTCAGCTCCTTCTGTTGAGGAAGCTAAAAAGCCCATGCTTTTAGCGACAAGTTAACAACCTCCGCGTGCTGCACAGCAGATGGTGCAGTAATGTTGGAGGTGTATTTTATAATAACCTTTTTCCACGGGAGGATATTGAGGTATGAAGAAACCTCTTCCTGTTGCCAAAGAATTAATCAGTGGCAGAGAGGAACTAGGGGTGCAGGAATTCAAGCAGAAGCACTTCCATAGGTCTCACTGAGAGAGTGAGACTTGCAAGACTTCCTGCAAAACTTTAGATATTCCACCTAGGTCAGACTGCACTCATTTTAAGGCCAGTAAGAATGTAAGACATCCCCAGAAGAGGACTTGCACTTTTGCACTACTTCAAGTTGGCATCTCCCTCCAAAAATGCCTACCCCTTCTCATCCTGCTCACAGTCAGGGGCCTCCTGGTCTGATCAACTCAGGCAGATGCCTACAGCTAAGCTGGACAGATCTGTGATTATCTGATCAGACCTCAGAGACGGGTCTGAGCACCGGCCAGGGGCTGTTCAGTGCAGAGTCATAGTTGTGCGAGGTGTTTCACCAGCAACGCAGATGGTATCTCGGCTGCGGGTGGGCAGAGCTTCTCAAGTCTCCAGGAACGATGCAAAGCTGGGAGGTGTCCAAGTTTGGGCCCAAAGCATGGGTTAAGGTGAAAAGTCCACAGCAAAAAGGGTTTATCCCCTTGGTGCTAGAGTGGAGGTGGCTGTGCCTGAGCTCCCTGGGAGAGGAGCAGAGTCCAGCCTGGAGGAATGGATCACACCAAAATGCTGGAGGAATGAGATTTGCAGCCTGAGATTTCTGAGGCAAGATCTCTGGAAAGAAAAAAAAAATCACTCTAGACTGCCTTTGTTGCCCTTGGAAGAAAGAAAAATTTTAAGAGTACAGTATCTGCTGGCCGTGCAGAGAAAGCAGTGAATTGTGAATAGTAATAGCCAGAAAGAATTATTGGAGAAATGACTGAAGGCCAGGGCATTTCTGTATAAATCTTGCTTCAGATAATTCTGAATGAAAATACATTTGTAAATACCAACATTTCCCAATGGTTTTCCTATCTAGAGGGAAAGAACTCAGCTAATAAGTTCTTCCCCATGAATAGCTGTGCTTATAATAGCTGCTGAAATTAGATCAAACCACAGGACGGGGACAATAACCTCTCAGACTTTCAGAAAAGCTTAGTGGCTTGTGTGCTGCAGGCATTGCAAAGGTTGGATATGAATGGCACCAGGGGAGATCTTTAATGCTGGTCCCTTCTGAAATTTTGGCCTTGGCAGCAAGTGCTGACTTGGGACATCTGACCCTGAACTCTCCAGAAACTTCAGCATTGGTTATCTAAGACCTGAATGCTAAAATTTACAAGAGGGCATCTGTTGCCAGGTCAGAAGTGAGTTCTCACAGGTGCTCACAATTAAGAGGGGAAGTTGATGATGGCATCTAACATGGGTTTATCATTGCATTTTTGCTTGCTTCCTCCTATGCCATATGTGTTGGCAGCTCATAGCAGCTCAAATAGGGATTTGCAGAGGGTTTTGGAGAGCGGGTTGGGGGAAAGAGGGAGCCAAAGGTCGTATTCTTTTGGCTTTGATGCTTGCAAGGAAAAGAAAAATAGTCTCGAGCGGCAGGAAGTCTCCCTCCCCACCATCATTCTTCTCTTGGGTTCCCACTGCCCTGTCTTGTTTGTGTTGTGCCAGGGCTTTTTTGCCTGCCTGTGGGCTCTGTCTGGCTGCTTCCCCACCTCAGCCATGTCTCCACTGCCCACACACTACATCTCTGAGCAGCACCAAGGGTGATCCAGGGCGCCGGGCGCTGGGGTGAGCTTTCCCAGTTTCATCTTTCTGAGCCGCAGATGTGCTGTGGGCCTGGCTTTGAATGCTGCTGTTATCCTACCTGTCTTCCTCCAAAGGGAGATTAGTGCCTCCTCACGGGTGTTTTGAATAAGCTATGGAGGTGATGGCCTCACTTTGAACCTGCTCTAGCTGAAGTGCAGCATATGTCCCTGGTCAGGCTGTGTTAGGAGCTCATCTGTGTCACCTTGGCTCATCCCTGCCTCTGAGCAGGGTGGAGGCACAGCCCAGGGAGTGAACTGACGGCCTGTCAGCAAGTGCTCTTCTCTCGTGACCTCATTCCTATGCAAGGAATGATTTCAGTACCAATCTCTTTCATTACCACTTGCCTGACCGTGGAGCGAGGGCAAGGAAAATGAAGCAGGGAGTCCTACACAGCTTTGCTCTGCCTCCTTCAGGTGGGACACAACGTCCAAGGGAGTACTCCAAGAGCAGCGCATCTGTTTTAATGGCATGGTTGAGGAAGTCAGCTCCGAACCAGCAGTGAGGGCAGCAGAGGGAGGACGTGCTGCATTCATAAAATTCAAGAAATCAATAGATGGGGAAGACAGTTGGAGGAAGAGATGGCAAAGTCAGACGCTGTTCATCTCTGCCCATGAGCAAGGGAAGCAGTGGCCCCGTTGTCTTGGGGGTTTAACAGGAATGAAAACGAGCAGAAGTCAGCAGAGCTGCCAGGAACAGGTGAAGGCCTTTCGTATGAGCTGCTGGCACTGAATTTGGGGGTGTGGGTTCAGACAGCTATTGAGTGCTGGGCATACTGCTGCATGGCACTCATCAGCATCTCTGCAGGCAGCCTGAGAAAAAGGGTAAGGAGCAAGTTGCCTCACTGGAGCAGCAAGTGGCTGAAGAGTGGGCTAATGATGTGGACCAATGCCAGCCCAGTCCAGTTGGGAGCAGCCTCCCAGAAGTGCTGCTTATGGGTGAGCTAAGACACCCTGTCTCACACCAAAATCAAAACTCCTTGTTATGGTGCAAACTTTTTTTTTTTCTGACTGCAAAAGGCTCAAGCAAAGTTTGAGATGGCTGCACCGAGACAAGCCCTGAGCAGACCGTGCCCTGGTTGGTTTCCTTTTCTAATCCTCAGCAAGAGGTATCTGCCTTGGTATGGTTAATGCCCGAGTTTTCCATATAATACTAGGGATAACACTGTCCTCTGGGCTAGCTGATCCATTTATGGTCTAAACCTTGCATGTTAAGGTTGAGTTCTCACCAGGTTTATATGCAGTGCTGCTACTGCTATTTGTAAAAATGAGTATGGATCACTGCTGGACTGTATGTTATAGAAAGAGTTGCCTGCTTGCTTTCCCTGGTAAATTGGCAAGCAGACTTCCTTGCCTGTGTTTGAAAGGTGTAGCTGAACCTAGGGGAGTGAGGGGAGGAATTTAGGATTAGATTCATCCAGTGCCCGTGCTTAACATATCTGTGCCAAAAAGTGTGTTCAGCGTGAGGTGTCTGGCAAGAAGAAGCCCAAGTCGTTGTTCATCAGAAAAGCCATCTTGGATTTCTGGGTAAGGGTCTGGCCAAACATACTGCAGCTGAGGCGACCAGCCAACACACAGTGTTCCTCAGCTCTCCTTATGTGCCCTGTGGACGTCCTGACCCTGAGCTAGAGATGATCCACCAGCTAGGGAAGGTATCTGTGATCACCAACAGCTGCACCCAAGCTTGAGAGGCAAACATTCTGGCTGTAGCTTCAAAGCAGTAGCCTCATAGCTGGCAGGCAGGATTTTGCCTTACCTGAATCCCTCTCAGAAAGATATTTCTTTCTTATCTTTGACAGGAATACACCATCGACATCTTCTTTGCTCAAACGTGGTATGACCGGCGTCTTCGTTTCAACAGTACTCTCAAGGCCCTCACACTGAACACCAACATGGTGAGCCGCATCTGGATCCCTGACACCTTTTTCAGGAATTCCAAGCGGGCTGACTCCCACTGGATAACCACCCCTAATCAACTCCTCCGCATCTGGAATGATGGCAAAGTTCTCTATACGCTCAGGTATGCGCAGCAGTCACTGTAGCTGGCTGATGAGAAGAGGGAAGAAGGAGCAGATCGAGGCAGAGGAGGTTTTCAGATGCCCTGAAACATAATAGTGAAGATGTAGGTGTCTGGTGGTGTTGATGTTGCCACATATCTAGCACTTGTTGCAAAACAGACTTGGGTTTCCTGAGATGAAGGCTCCTGAAAAATCAAAGCATTTTTCCAAACTGTACCCAGCAGTCAGAAGTATAAAGGCTTTCCCAGACCAAAGTCTTTTAAATATTTGCTTTGGTTAGTTCAGCTATTTTATTCTGATACTAAACATTTGGCTTTTGTCCCCATAAATTTCTATTCCCATAAATTAATTTGGTAAGCTCACTAAACAAAAAGCTCTTTTTATTGTGAAAATTACATCTTTTTCCTCACTTTGAAAATGTACAAATGTATGTTTTGTTTTGCTACTGTTTTGCAAGGTTTTGCAAACTCAGCTTCAACAAATTAGTCTCAAGAAAGGAGCAAGGAAGAAAATCCCTCTGTTAGTGACACTGTGGTGTTGGAATCAAGCCACTTTCCCCAACAGAAAAACTCAGGCTCCCTCTCTCTCTTTCTGTCTCTCCCAGACTGACTATTGAGGCTGAATGTCTGCTCCAGCTGCAGAATTTCCCAATGGACACTCACTCGTGCCCTCTGGTTTTCTCCAGTTGTGAGTATCCATATCTTAAAAATAGTTTTAGAAGGCAAGTAGTGAAGCCTCAGCACAGTAAGATGCTCCCTGAGAGACCCCATCGTCCCTTTTACCTGTATTTTCACCTAGTCTCTATAACCCTCTTCGTGGGTCAATATCCACCATGCCCTGGAGCATCCTCCCATTCCTGCACTAGGAAGGAATTCAGGACAAGATTCATAGCATCTGAGTTCCTCCTTAATTTGGACAGACAGTTGCAGGTGATTATTTCATGGACTTTCACTGACTTTCTGTCACTCTGACTTACTGACCTAAATAAATCCATTCAGCTGGCATCAGCCCTGCTTAGCATCTTCCCTCCATCTCCTGCTCCGTGAGGGGCTGCTTCAACTTTCTAGGCCAAAGGAGGCCTTTTTTCTTTTCCCAAGGCCATAATCACATCTCCCAACTCCATCCCTGTTTATCTGTTCTCTTCAGCTGAGAAGGCTACTGATGCTGGCACATCTCTACGGGTAAGTTAGCCCAGATCCCGCCTGCACCAAGAGAATCCCAGCCCCATGCATTGGGGCCAGTCAGTCTCACCTGCCACTGAAGTGATGCAGCTCACATGGCTTAGAGGTGCTTTGGGGGAAGGCAGCTTGCTGAGGAGATAAGGTCCACTAGTCTCCTGATGTCCCTCATTCTTTGCTAATTAACAGTACATACCATACCTGCTTGATA